CAGCCGGTGGCGCCGCCTCTTCTGCCGCCCTTACGACGAGTCTCGGGGCGGTGCTGCCGTAGTTCTTGGAGGAGAAAAATAACATAGTGGTACGAGAAGTGTTAGTGTTAGAGGCAACATTAGGAGTTGCTACCAAAAAGTTTGATGCAGCAGAAGCCATGTTACAACTTGCCATAGTTTACTGGATTGTCTTACTTCTTACTTGTCTGAAAATTTTGATAGATATGAAGTTGTTGAAAAAGAAGAAAAAGCAATCTGACAAAACAATAGAGTAGATTTGAGAGGTTTTGAATTAATTGGATATCTTTTTCATGGACAAGGAGCAACCCTGCGGCCTCCTGTTATTGCTCTAGCCACTAAGAGGCTGCCACGTAGTTACCATATCCCATTCTTTTGGATAATGTCATCACTTCTCTTTTGTCTTTACTTTTTATTTTTCATATAATCTTGTATATTCTTTCTTTTACATAATATGATATCCGAATCAGTTTACGCGTAGAGATGGAAAAAGGATTAGAATTTAATGGATTCAACGTTGTACTGAACTAAATATACCGTTAAAATTATGAGTTCAAATTTAATATTTTTTAAAATTTTAGTAGTTTTTTTCTTCCGATTTTACATACATATTTACACTTCGTATCGAAAGTTATGAATTCAGATGAACTAGTAGCCAAAAGGTTACATCCACATCTGTTTACGCGCACCTCAATTAATTTCACAAGATATATGTTGCCTCACGCCAGTATAGAGACCAAGTCTGTCCACAAGGCTTGGACATATGTGTATAAATTACTTAGTATTTATATTTACTATATTAATAACTCCTCTTTTGTTTTTTGATTGATAGTTTATCCTTTACGTAATGGCAAAATAACTTACCATCCCTCTAAACTTGTCATGAATTATTAGTTACAACTTTAAACTATTCGTGGTCTTAATTACCCCCCTCAACTAGGCCTTTTAAGAGTCATTACCTCCTAGTGTGATGACCCAAAAGGTCATCACTTGTTTTAGAAATGAATTCTGCATTCCGAGGCCTTAAAACCTCTTTCAACATCACCTCGATTTGCGTGCACAATCCGGGCGCGTAGTCGGAAAGCCAATATGTAAAAATTTGTGAAAATGATGAATTTTGACTTTAAAATGAATTTAAGTTGACTTCGGTCAACATTTGGGTAAACGGACCCGGACCCGTGATTTGACGGTCCCGGAGGATCCCTAGGAAAATATGGGACTTGGTCGTATGCCCGGAATCGAATTCCGAGGTTCCAAGCCCGAGAAATGAATTTTTAAAGAAAATTATTTTCTGGAATATTTATGAGTTTTTGAAAAGTGAAATGTATTTAAAGTTTGGTGGTATCGGGCCCGTATTTTGGTTCCGGAGCCTGGAACAGGTCTTATATGTGATTTAAGATGAGTCTATGAAATTTGGTAAGAAACAGACTTGAAACGACGTGAATCGGATCGTATTTGAGAAAATTGGAAAAATTTGATGTTCTTAAGAAATTTCATGATTTTGATGTTAAATTCATAGTTGTTGATGTTCTTTTGGTGATTGAATGCACGAGCAAGTCCGTATGATGTTTTTAGGTTGGTGTGCATGTTTGGTTTGGAGCCCCGAGGGCTCGGGTGAGTTTTGGATAGGCCACGGGGTGAATTTTTGGACTAGGGAAATTGCAGGTTCCAGCTGCTCTATTGCAGGCCTGCATGCGAAGCCTGGCTCGCAAATGCGAAGGCTATGTCGCAAATGTGAAAATAGCCCAGGCCAACCTACCTCGCAAATGCGATGTTTTCCCTTTTGGTCGGTCGTCACAAATGCGACATATTGTTCGCAAAACCGACTTCGCAAATGCGAAGGTCGCTTCGCTAATGCGAGCTTAGCAGAAGTCTGGGTTCGCAATTGCGACATCTGCGACCTGCAATTTTATAACTTAGCCGAAAATCTTTCATTTTTCACACTCTTTCAAAACCAAAACAGTCTTGGGCGAGTTTTCAAAGACAACTTCTCTTCCAAATCGATTGTAAGTCGTTTCTAACTAGTTTTCTTCAATCTTTAACATCTTTTTCACATGATTTCAACTCAAAATCAATGATTTTCATGGGGGAAATTGGGTGGTTTGGGTAGAACCTAGATTTTTCAAAAATTAGGGATTTGGACCTCGATTTGAGGTCCGATTTCAAAACAAATTATATATTTGGGTTCGTGGGGGAATGGGTAATCGGATTTTGATTCGAACCTCGGGTTTTGACCATGTGGGCCCGGGGGAGATTTTTGATTTTTTGGGTAAAACTTTGAAAAACTTATTTTCATGCATTAGCATTGATTCATTTAGCGTATATTGATGTAATTAAGTAACTTGTGGCTAGATACGAGCGAATTGGTGGTGGAATCAAGAGGTAAAGCGATAGTAGAGACTTGAATTGTGTTCGTGGCATCGGGGTAAGTGTTTGGTCTAACCTTAGCTTGAGGGATTAGGAACCGTGTCTTATTTGCTACGTGTTAATTGTGGAGTACGACGTATAGGCATGGTGACAAGTATCTATACGTCGGTGTCAAGCATGCCCGTGAGTCTTGTATTGTAATTGTTATGACTCTGTTGTGGTTTGTTGCGCTTCATATGAGGATTATCATAATTGTTCTCTTGCCGGGATGTTATTATCATTATTGTTTCCTTGCTGGGATATTATTATCATTATTATTCCCTTCCCGGAATATTATTGTCATATTATTGTTCCCTTGCCGGGATGTTTGTTTTGATATTATTGATCCCTTGCCGGGACCCTTTTTTTATTGGTGTTGATAAAAGAAATGGGAGCGGGTTGCACGCCTGCAACAGTAATATAAGAAATGAGAGCGAGTTGCACGCCTGTAATGGTAATATGTGAAATGGGAGCGGGTTGCACGCCTGCAACGGTAATATAAGAAATGGGAGCGGGTTGCACGCCTGCAACAGTAATATATGAAATGGGAGCGGATTGCACGCCTGCAACGGTAATATATGAAATGGGATCGGGTTGCACGCCTGTAACGGTATTACGTGTGTGCATGTTTCTTCTATTTCCTTATTCTTTTGCTGGTAATTGATTTATGGCATTCCTTATGTTTCTATATTGTTGTTCTGTTGTTACCTGTTACTCCACGCAGCATGTTTCCCCCGCCCAATTTTAGTTGTGATTATCTACTTCTATTTCCGCTGTATATGATTTAACTGCACTTTATTTGGTAGTATGGTCCTAGCCTCGTCACTATTTCGCCGAGGTTAGGCTAGGCACTTACCATTACATAGGGTCGGTTGTGCTGATACTACACTCTGTACTGTGTGCAAATACTGATACCGGAGCGCTTGGACCGCCATGAGGGTGCTGTCTTCAGTCCACACAGGCGACCCGAGGTAGTCCTGCAGACGTCCGCGGGCCTTGGCGTCACCTCCTATCTTTCCTTTATCTTGTTTCCTTTACTTATTTCAGAAACAATGTATCTTTTATTTTTCAGACTTTATATGTAGTATTCTTAGACCGTCTGTGAAACTGTGACACCAGTTCTGGGTAGTCGATGCTCAAGCAGTTGTATTGGATACATATTCAGATAGTTTATTGCATTTCTTCCGCTATTTGTAAATTTCGTTGTCTACACGTTACTGCTTCATAATTGTTAAAGAATATAAAAGGATAATTTGTTCAAACAGTCGGCTTGCCTAGCTCAAATTAGTCGGCGCCATCACGACTCCCGAGGGCGGGAAATCCGGATCGTGACACCTGGACGCTGATAAGGCAAATTGTGTGGGTGCACTCGTCTGCCACGTGAATTTTTCTATATATGTGGCATTTTTTTGAAAAATAAAATATATTTTTACCTTTTTAAGTATGTTACTTTTTTAGATAATTTTTTTTTAATACAATTTATAATAAAACCTAGATAGAGCTACATTATTTAGGCTAAATTTTTTTATTATGCTAAAAATAATAAAGTTTTAGTTAATATTTTTTTGAATTTGACATAAAAATAAAGATTTATACAATTGAAATAACTAGTCAAGGTATCTAAAAAGTTATAAAAATACATAGTTTGAAATTAATTATTCCG